ATTTAAAAAGATAGAAGGTAGCATTCAGGGACTAGTTCAGTGAGGTTTCAGAGAAAGTTTATTGAGTAGAGGTCAGAATACAGTTGGGGCTCAATTCAGGTATAAGACTCAGAGAAAAACAAAGAAAAGCCTTGACATCTGCTATGACCAGGAAGCCAAGAGACAGCCAGTATCATCAAAATCGGCCCTGTTCTTTAGTTCTACACTGTGCACTCCAGCAGGCTAGCCTGTGTGCCTTCTTTCTAAAGGCCCTCCTCTCAGTGTAGGCTGGCCTTGCCTGTATCCGGTCTCAACAGGAAGCATGTTTGAAAAAAATCCACGAGATAAGAGAGCCTTGTTTATTGTGCCAGTGCTCAAGTGGTTTCTAGTTCCTTACCTTGCCTTAATGTAGACACTCTGCCTCCTACATGCTTACCTGTCCTTTCTGCCCACATTCCCTTGACTATCTACCATGACAAACTCCAGGCCAGACCTGCTTCCACTATTCTTTTTTAGCCTCCCAGTCACCTGAAGTTGTCTGCCTGAAAATATGGCTGCCCACAATTTCATCTCGGAACACACACGCCACTCCTCCCCACAGGAGGTGGAATCTGCTGATTTGTCCACCCTTTGAATCTGGGCTGATGTGAATTACTTTGACCAACAGAATGGGGCAGACGTGACACTGTGCAAGTTTCAGGCCTGGCCCTTACAAGGTCTAGCAGCTTCTGCTTTACTATCCTACAATGCTATACAGAAGTCCCTATCCTGCCAGGGAGAGGGCATATGGAGGACCAAGGTGCCCCAGCCAATAACCAGCACCAAGGCCCTTGGCATATGAGTGAAGTGTTGGATCTGCCAGCCCTACTGTCAGTTTAGTGAAGCTGCAAAAGTAATAGCCAACCTCGCTAATAGCAACCCCAAATGGGGCAGAAGAATCATCCGGACAACCCATAAAACTGTGAGAAATGATGGTTACTGTATTTAGCTACTATGTTTTGAATATTGTTATGCAGCAAAAGAGAACTTGATGCATGAGTTCCCTTCCCATTGCCATGATCGGCTATTGCCCTGGCCCCACTATGATTTAAAAAGAGGAACAGGAGACAGCTACACAAGCATAATCATTGTACTAGATTAGCCAGCGCAGATTAATGATGCAGTGTGCTTTTAGCTAAGGTACCCCTCTATAGTTTGTGCACTGAGGTTACCTTGAGTTAGTAATGGGTAACTGAGGCTGTGTTGTGCTGGCTCTCAATTTCCAAAATTAAGGATTTTAGAAAATGCTTCCCTTTTAAACCACAAACCAGTCTCTCTCCCTTACAATTTCCCTCTATATTGTCATCCACAGTGTCATTATAACATGTCATTTCTCTTCAAGAGTTTTTGCTGCTATCAGGATAATATTCAGATTTCTGAGCATGGAGTTTCCATTGGGTGGTGGACGGGAAATGCCCTGTTTACTTTCTTTCATTTGGGAGTGCCTGTTCAGGCACAAACCAACAATCAAATCCTGCCACAATAGTCAGAAAATGCTCAATTCTTACTCTCTGAAGTATTTGCAGGGGGAAATGATGTGATGTGTGGGATTTGTTCTAAAAATACTATAGCAAAAAAAAAAGGGTGGAGGGTGGGGATAGATGAAATAAAGTTGACTGAATATTGATAACTGTTGAATCTGATCCATGATTATGGGTTTGGGGTCTTTGTGCTATTGTTTCTCTTTTCAAGTATGTCTGAAAAAAATGCATAATTAAGACTTTAAAACTTTAAAAAAATTCACAGCTTAATAATAATTGCTTAAAATATCAACTAAAGTTTGAAAAATCTCTTACAGAGAGGTTTGTTATAATGGGATAGGACCTTAAAACAAAAGAGTGATTTACACTTTTGTAGGAAATTTTAACAAGAACATTCTGGAGCCTAATAATGAATGATATGAATCAAAGAACAGTTCTGGCCCAAGGGTTTTTAATGAGGATCCAAAGTTTCCTAAAGATCCATGAAGGGGCTTTTAGGAGGTTAATAACCTGTACAATTTTTGGTTATACATGCCAATGTGTATCTCTCTGGGGAGATAGTCCAAAGCTTACATCTAATTTACTAAGGGATTGATAACTACCACCCTCCTCCCCTCAGTAACTTAATACATATTAAGCATATTTTCATGGTTAGAAATAGTTTTCAAATAGAAGACGTAATTATGAGTTAAAGATGAGAAAAAAGCGCTTTGAAGCAGTCTGACTTGACAGCTCGGGTGTGACTCGGACTGAGTACAGGTAACCGGGAGTCTGTCCGGCCCGAGAGGTGCACCAGGAGCAGCCGGGGCCAGCTTTCCTTCACATTTCTAAATCCAGAGCATACCAGGTGTTTGTTTCCTTACTTATCAGGAATCCAGAGTCTAACCGTTCTGTCTCGTGAAGCAGACGCCAGTAAGTTTCCAAGTGGAGAAAACTGCACGCTGGTTACAACGTCCTTGTGACCCACGTATCTGAAAGCTCTAGCTTGTGGCTTGAAATTCCATAGCATGAGAAATGTATCCCAAGAAGCAGTAGCTATCAAGAAACAGAAGAATAAAAACACTGTTTGTTAAAATGTAACACGTAGGCATGTCTCGTTACAATGGGCAGCGTATCTAATAACAAGATGTCCAGGTAATAGAGGGGCTGAAGGTTGAAAGGCTGACCAGGTAACGGCAAAAATATTTTTAACAGAAACGGAAAGCTACGCCATAAATATGCAAGCGTGGCTGTGTCCCTGCCCCTGTGTTGGGTTAGAGCTCAATGACTACTAGAAGAACACAGCACAGCATAGCAGAGAACACAGCACAGCATAACAGAGAACACAGGACTAGGAGTCAGTGCTGTCTCCAACTCCCAGGGTTACTGATGAAGGTTACTTAACCTCTCTGTCATGAGGACAGAATGGTTTTCTGGAGAGGGCTGGATGAGATGATTCTTTTAAAACTGGTTTTGTGGGTTTTTTGTGTGGAAATAATTTCACATTTATAAAAAGTTACAAGAATATAAAGAACATTAAATACAAACTACCAGATCCACCTCTTGTTAATATTTTGACACATTCTAAATAAGAAAAGCCTAATATGCTAAGTGTCCGGTCCTTCGGTCTGAGGTTCAACCAATCAAAGTGTAATATGCTAATGATATGCTAAGGCCGCTCAACCACTCACTATAATGTGCGCTGACAACCAGGGGGCATATGCTCCGACCGGTACGGTTTGCTTGCTGCTGGGGTCCGGCTGATTGGGACTGAGTGAGACGGGCCGGACACACCCTGGAGCCCTTCCATGGTCCCTGCCTGACTGGCCAACCTCCTGCATCCCTCCCCAACCCCAAATGTGCACCAGTGGGGTCCCTCGGCCTAGTCTGCGCCCTCTCACAATCCGGGACCCCTTGGGGGATGTCAGAGAGCTGGTTTCAGCCCAATCCCACAGGCCAGGCTGAGGGACCCCACCGGCACACGAATTCATGCACTGGGCCTCTAGTTTCGTTTATAATTTGATTGTGTTCTCTCTCTCTCTCTCTCTACTCAAGTATGCACACAAACACAGGATTTTCCCCCGAACCATCTGGGAGTAAGTATATACATCATCATGGCACTTTGATTCCTAAATACTTCAGTGTGTTTTTCTAAGAATAAGGGTATTCTCTTACATAGCACAGTTATCAACTTCAGGAAATTTATCATTGACAATACTTTAATCTACCAACTGTATTCCAATTTTATCAGTTGACCCACTAATGTCTTTTTTCCCCTCCCATCACCATTTATACCCTCTATGGCAGCGGTTCTCAACCTGTGGGTCGCAACCCCTTTGGCGGTCGAACGACCCTTTCTCAGGGGTCACCTAAGACCATCCTGTATATCAGATATTTACGTTATGATTCATAACAGTAGCAAAACTACAGTTATGATGTAACAACGAAAATAATTTTATGGTTGGGGGTCACAACATGAGGAACTGTTTTAAAGGGCCAGAAGGTTGAGAACCACTGCTCTATGGCCTCTTCCACCTCTATCCCCCAACCCAACCCTGCAATCATCAGGTGAGGATATGTATAGAGAGAGGGAGGAAGGGAGGGACGAAGGGACAGAGAGAGAGAGAGAGAGAGAGAGAGAGAGAGAGAGAGAGAGAGAGACATTGATGTGAAAGAGAAACATTGATCAATCACCTCCCATGAGCACCTTAACCAGGGATAAAACCTGCAACCTAGGTATGTGCCCTGACCAGGAATCAAACCCACTACCTTTTGATACATGGGACGACTCTTCAACCAACTGAAACACCCAACCAGGGCTCTTAATGTCTTTTATAGCTAGACAAGATTAAGTTTAAAGTCTCTTTCTGCTCTGTTAGTTTATGACATTCTACTATTAATAAAAGAATTAATGTGTCAGACATTACCTTATGGCTTTAGAAAAAGGAAAACAAATGCAATCAGTGGTGTAACTAGATGCCTTGGACAAAGAATGAACAAATAGCCTTGGCCGGGTGGCTCAGTTGGCTGGAACATCGTCTTGTGCACCAAGAAACAGTTGGGGTTCAATTCCCAGGCAGGGCACATACGTAGATTGTGGGTTTGATCCCTAGTGTGGGTGAGTAAGGGAGGCAACCAAATGATATTCCTCTCACATCGATGTTTCTCCCTCTCTCTCTAAAATTAATAAAAACATATCCTTGGGTGAGGATTAAAAAAGAAAGAAAGAACAAATAAATGAAAGTTTGGTCTAACTCTTGGCCCAAAACTAAATTTTACATATACATGTAACCCCCCAAATGGCCCCAATAATAGCAACTAGCTCAATGAGAATCACTAAATCTAGACTGTAGAATGCTTAGAAAAAAATGCAACTTTATAAAATTTAAATGCAATTAATATTATTGCAGATGGAATATATAAAGCCACTAAAAACCTTCTAAATTATTTAGCTGCAGATAAAATTCATTTGGGCTTACTTAGCCTATGCATAGCTTTCATGTAAGACATAAAATAATTAAAGTGACCTTATAAGTTTCAAACTGTAATGCTGTCTACTATTCCCTTTTTTAAAAGTACAAAGAGTTGATGTTCCACCATAGCTCATCAAATTATTAAATATTTATGTCAGGGTCTGAATTATCTGAGGCAAATGTAGACAAAATAGGGAAAACAATGACATCATATGCTTTATACTTAGGGCCCTATTTGAGTTCTAGTGTATTATGTTGCATATAAGATTTACAAAAGGAAAATAGGACACAATCCTCAAGGAATCACAATACTGTAGGGGAAAAAGTTCATTAGTAATATCATACATGTTCAAAGGACTTTTATATATTATTCAGTCTTAATATTACAAGGGGTGGGTAGTGGTCCTTTCCAAGGAAAGGACACATGAGCAGACATGTGAGTGAAAGGAGGAGTGATCTGGGCTAAGAAATGGAGAAAGAGCACAATGGGCAGAAGACACCCCACGTGCAAGGGCCTGATACAATAATGCACTTGAAGACCAAGGAGCAGTAAGGAGGCCAGGGTGTCCACAATGGAGGGGAGGAAAAGAGAACATTGAGATGGAAGCGGAGAAGCAAGCAAGATGCCAGCCAAGGAGCCATGGTAACGGGTGTACTATTATATTTGTCCTAAGGGTAAGGGGAAACCATTGACAGATTTTAAGCAGAGAGATCTCATGAACTGATCTAAGAAAATTGCCTCTCTGACAATGAGAAAAAGATGGTCTTTTCAAAAAATAGTGTTGGATCAACTGGATATATATTTTTTAAGTAACTTGACTCATACATTTTATGCTATCCATATGGAAAAATTTTTTTTTCCATTTAAATGTGATTTAAATGTAATAGGTAAAACAATAAGCTTTTATATAAGAACATAGGAGGGTATTTCCATGGCTGTTGTGATAGTCAAATATTACTTAAACAGGACATGAAAATTACTATAGGAAAAGAATAATAGTTGGTACTACACTAAATTAAGAAATTTTGCTCATGGAAGAATACCACTAAGTAACTGAAAAGGCAGGCCACAGAGTGGAAGAAGATATTTACAGTACGTACAGCCAACATCTAACAAAGAATCTATAAAGATTCCTACAAATCAATTAGAAAAGGCAGGAAAACAGGCAAGCAGCTTAAAAAGGCACTTCATTAAAGAAGATATCCAAATGGCCAATAAACATAAAAAGGTACTCAATTCCATTGGTCACCAGAAAAAATGCAAATTAAAACCCCAATGAGATATTATTACACACTCATCAGAATGGCTATAATAATAATAAAAAATACCAAATCTCGGTGAGGATGTGACAATTGGAACTCTCATAAAATGCTGACGGTTATAACCACTTAGAAAAATTGTTTTTGAAATATCTACTAAAGCTGAATATACACTTACCATCTGATTCAGCAATTCCAATCCTAGATATATACCTGACAGAAATTCTTATATAATACTAGTGGCCCAGTGCACGGATTCGTGCACAATGAAAGGAAATTAATTAGAAGGTGGCCTGTGGAGCAGGACTGAGCAAGAAGGGCCCAGACACTCCCTGGAGCCAACCTCCAGCAGTCCCTCCCTGGCCGGCAGTACCTGGAGCAGCACCGTGGCTGGAAGGGCATCTGCGGTCACTGCACCTCGGCAGTAAACCAGAATCAGGGCTGACAGTGCCCCAGCAACAACATAACCCACAGCCAAAGGTGGAATCACGTGACCCCATGAAGAATCAGGATCCTTCCTCTCTGGTTCTGGGGTGCGTTACCCTAGAATAGCTGCTGCCAAGTCACTGCAGTTCGGCAGCTCTTGCGTTAAGCATCTGCCCCCTAGTGGTCTGTGCACGTCATACCTACCAGCCGATCAGATGATCAGGCGGTCACTTAGCCTTTTATATATATACTAGAGGCCTGGTGCACAAAAATTTGTGCACTCGGGGGGGTGGAGGAGGTCCCTTAGCCTGGCCTGTGCCCCCTCGCAGTCTGGGACCCCTCAGGGGATGACCACTTGCTGGCTTAGGCCTGCTCCCCAGGGGATTGGGCCTAAGATGCCAATCAGACATCCCTCTGGCAGCCCGGCAGCCCACAGGGGATGTCCACTTGCCAGCGGGGAGCAGGCCTAAGCTGCAGTCAGACATCCTTAGCACTGCTGAGGAGGCAGGAGAGACTCCCACCACCACCGCTGTACTGGCAGCCATCAGCCTGGCTTGCGGCTGAACAGAACTCCCCATGTGGGAGCGCACTGACCACCAGAGGGCAGCTCCTGCATTGAACGTCTGTCCCCTGGTGATCAGTGTGTGTCATAGCTAACAGTCAGATGGTCAAACGGTCAGATGGTTGCTTAGGCTTTTATATATATAGATTGTATTTTTGCTCAGACTAATATTATTTCCCTTTATCATCCCACTCTACTACTTTATCCTTAAAGAAAGGTGTAAATATTCAATAAAAATTAAAAATAGCTTCTATAATTGCAACATAGTTGCTTAGAGTGCAGCTCAGAGCCCTGCGCGGCAGGCGGGGAATCTTGGCTTCCTCTATCACCGGGGC